GGGGTACAATCGACGTCAAATCCTCTAAGGAGGGAAGGCGAGCACGTAGCAAAATTCTAAGGAATTTTCTAAAGCGACGACCCCAAGGGGTGAAATCAACGTCAAATTCTCCAAGGAGAAAAGACGGACACTTAGCAAAATTCTATGGAATTTTCTAAGGGGACGACCCCAAGGGGTGAAATCAGCGTCAAATTCTCCAAGGAGAAAAGACGGACACTTAGCAAAATTCTAAGGAATTTTCTAAGGCGATGACACCAAGGGGTGAAATCAGCGTCAAATTCTCCAAGGAGAAAAGACAGACACTTAGCTAAATTCTAAGGAATTTTCTAAGGCGAAGACACCAAGGGGTGAAATCAGCGTCAAATTCTCCAAAGGGGGAAAGACGGACACTTAGCGAAATTCTAAGGAATTTTCTAAAAACAACAAATTGCAAAGCAAGGTACGAACAAAATCCATTACCTTTATAAAAAAAAAAGGGAAAGGTGTATATAGATAAAATAAAAAGATGTCCAAATCAACATTAAGTTACAAACACAAAAAAAAGAGGCAGGTAAAAATCATTTCAGGCCTCACCGCCAGCCGCCGATTCATCGCCGTCACCAAGCGGGGAAACGTTATCGTCACCAGCAGGAGGAGGAGAGTTATAAATGAAGCTCAAGTCCCACTCAGGACGCTCCTTCTTGATTAGATCGACAATTTGTTGACCCGCAGACTGAAAATCCTTGGTGCGGATGTCAGTGAGCTCCGAATAAGCCTTGAACTCCTCAATAATCTCAGTGCGCCTGGCGTCGAAGGCAAATGCAGCTTCTGCCTCGGCTTCCCTCTTCCCCTCAGTCTTCCCTTCAGCGAAACGCCTCTTCGCTTCTTCATCTACTTCAGACAACTTTTTTTCGGACAGATCTGCCCACTTTGTAAGATCCTCGACCTTAGCCTTCAACTTTGCCAGTTCGTCTTCCAAACTTGCCAGCTTGGCCACGGCCACGTCCCTCTTCTCGACGGCATCATCTAACTGTTTTTTGGCGTTGGTAACAAGGGAGTTGAGCTTGGCTTCCACTTCGTCCATCCCCTTATCGCGCTCCTCAACCTTAACTAGGTCAAGGAGGTTAAGGATGGAAAGGACCAGGCTCTGAAAAGTTGAAGGTCAGAAAAACAGAAATGCAGAACGACGAGTAAAAAAAAAAAACAAACTCTCGACAAGATCTTACGTGGATTTGGAAGGAGATTTGTTTGCGTTGACGGTTGACCAAGGAAGATTGAGTGGCAGCAACCCAGTGTGGCTCGAGGAAAGACTCATAGAGAGCCTAAAAGACGAGGGAGAAGCGAGGGGGAAGTTTTAGCATCGCCCCAATCTCGGCGTCAGATACGTCCGGGACTTGAAACTTGGGATCCATGATTTTAGCCCCCGGAATAAGTACGCGCTCTCTCAGCGCCAGGGGAATGTTAATGTCAGGAATAGGGATCGTCGGCGTCCACGTCTCTACCACCGGCGTTTTTTTCTTGCGCCTCTTTTTCCGCGCAGGATCCATCTCTGACCCCGAAGGGCCTTTGGTCTTCTTGCTCCTCGGCACGTAGGAAGAAAAGCTAGCTTTCTCCTTTCCCTTCGACGGCGGTTGTTGGCTCGGCGGGGGTTGTTGATTCGACAGCGGCTGTTGGTTCGGCTTGGATTGCTGGCTGCCAGGGAGTTGGATTCTCAAAGACGCCATCTCTATGGAGACGACGAGACAAAGGTATAGTCAGCATTTGGAAAACGAAAGTCGTAATAAATAAAGGCATCAAGAGCAAAAGTTATCCTCGTCGCTTAAATGGAAGTATGCGCGAACGGCGTCTAGGTCCGAAGGATCTGGGAGATCAAGGATTAACCCGGCACTTCGAAGATTGGCTTGGGTCAGAAGGGTATCTATATGGCGACTCAAACAGGTACGAAAAGGCCTTCTCGATTCTCGCCAAGCTATTCCCAGAAAACTTCAGCCGATCCTGGTTAACTGAAGGAAGAAAGATTGTCAGCATACGAAGAAAAAGAAAGAGGCGAAGTAAGGTAAAAGAAAGCCAAAATTCTCACCCATGTTCCCAAACGCCGCCTACACCTGCCTTCGACGTGGTAGGCGGTCGCTGGGGTGAAAATTAAAAGGCCCGCGAATCATGAAAAACATGGGTTTCCACCCATGTGACGACGAGGAAATCCCCAGTATCAACTTCCTGAAATTGGGCTGAGATCTCCCGTGTCCGCTCAAAAAATACCACCCCTCACACTTGGCGACGTGGCATAGTTTGTACATAAACGGGAACTCGTCTACAGGGAGTTCCATATCAACCTTTTGGTGCCACAAAATCCAGGCGCCGGTGAAGCAGGACCAGAAGTTCGGCGCCAGTTGAGCGGGGGAAATGCCATAAAAATGGTAGTAGTCCTTTACGAAAGGATGAACTGGGAGGGTCATCCCCGCCGTAACGGCTTTAGTATAAACCGGGAGGTACCCGGTCGGCGGCATGCTGGTCCTAAAATGCATGTCCGGGAGGAGGTATTCGAACCACCTCCCGTCGATGCATCCCTCATTTACAGCCCGGACGATATCTTTATTCCGGACCCTCGACGCCATAACATCGGCAGTAAAAAATGGCCTATCTGGATCACCACTTGTGGCAGCCAGGGGGGCATCTACCATCGAGGCAGCCACCCCGCCTACACTGCCCCCCGTGAAGGGGATCCGCTCTACCACCTCATCCAACATCCGCTCTACGCTGCCAAATTCACTACCGAAGCTGTCGCCTAGTACATATCTGGCTTCATATCCGGCCCCGACGTCTTCTATGTCCCTCAGCACGGAGTCGATGCTTGAAGACGAAGAAGACCATGAGATCTCCACCATTGAAGGGGAGTCTGGACGGACGACGGAAGAATCCTCTCGACTGGGGGAATTTTGGGCCATTGTTCTGATGATTAAAAAGGAAAATAGCTGAGTTAAAATCCTAACGTTGAGAGGAAGAAAAGGGTGACTATTCTAAACAACGACTACTCATACGCCTCGACTTGACGTCGACCATTCATATGAGAATGGTAACGGCGAGTGCTCATAGAATTTCAAGTCCCTCAGAACCCAGAAACCAAAAGAACATAGACAAGAGTAAGATGGAAACAGAACTGTCCTATGCGGCAAAGTAAAAGAGAGTAAGTATCCCTAATTTTTACATTCTGCGTATCTCCATACATATGTGAATCAATCAAAAAAACAAAGAAAAAAACCCCGTGAGTAAGCAAAACAAACAAAGGATGATGAAGCTTACTGGTGAAAAAAGGGTTCCGGAGAGAAAATCTCAGGTTGAATGCGGCTTCGCAACACGCCTTGAGAAGCAAGAAGTACGAATCGAGGTTTTGTGGAGAAGGAGTCCGACGGAGCAAAGGGCAGTTTAGCAGGTACGGGGGTTGTTTGCATTTTTGAAAAAAATGGTTTTTTAGTTTGAAAAAGGTATTTAAAGGGCCGAGAGTCCTCGACCTCTGACCGCCAGATGAAGACTTTTTAAATCCAACGGTAAGGGGGTCCTACCCAGATCTGACGGTGACAAGCGAGGGCGGGAAACGGAAGAGTCGCGATCCAAAGGCTCGCACTCGTCCTTTCAAAATGAGGCCTTACGTCATCATGGGGAATCAACCGACGCGACGGTTGCGTCCCCGAAGGAAATCCGAAGCGTCTAGGCATCATTGCAAACGAAGGCTTGGGACCGGTTTCCCACACCCGAAGCACGGAGGTACAACCGAACCAAAGCTCGAGGCCGCCTAAAAGGAGCCCTCGACCTGGGGGGTGGCTGTTGTGTGGGAAAATGTGACAGACACCTGGCAAACGATAAAGCGACACGTGGCCCTAACTACTCCCACCAAACAACAACCCTCGACGTCTACAGCTCTAAAGAGCCCAAGCGCGAAGTCCAACGTAGGGCGACGACTCTTCCTTACGTCGACAGATCGTGTCGTCGAGCTAGAGGCACAAAGATCCCTCGACCACAGAATCGATCACCAAGAAGGACGTTTGGGCTAAGCATCGCTGACGACGAGGGGAACGTTCTCTAGAGGACATGGCAAGTTGCGTACAAAAGTGGGGGATGTCAGCATGCATTAATGGCGAGCTCTTAAACCGCCCTACAGGGGATAGGAGAGTGTTACAGGGGTGCACAGAGCCGTAATAAAAGACTAATTGACTGAGTGAACAGTGTTGATTGATAGGCTACGTCTGGACCTAAAAAGGGAAAGCACTTGAGTGCTTCTGCCTAGGAGGGATACCCACCCAGCGAAGAAAGTCCAGTATAAAAGAAGGGAGACCCCCTACGAGGAGGGGGTTGAGATCCAAGCAGAGAAACAAGAGAGTGAGAGATAGCAATTGATGTAAATTGTAATCCCCTCAAAAAGAAATATACAACCACAGTGGATGTAGCTCTAATTTTACAGAGTGAACCACTATAAAACTTCTTGTCTTCTTTACTTATGCACATCCAAAAACAGTAAACTCTCACACACATTCAACACATAGGCCGGTAATCCAAAGGGAAACCAAGAGGTAACACGGCCAGTTTTTGTTGACGAGAAATCACCGTCAACAGTTTTTAAAAACAATTTTTACGTATTTTAAGAAGTAAAAACTAAAAATGAAAACGAAACGACGTTTGTTTAGTAAATATATTAAAAACAAAAAAAATAAAAATTATTATTGTGAATGAATTAAAAAATAGTTAAAAATTATTTTATATTTATATTTTTTATTACTTATCAATAATATTATCATATATTAATTATTCAATATAATTTTACTTTTTTATTATACTCAAAATAATTTTTAAAAAAATTAAACAAATATAATTTTAAAATTATTCTAAAATAATTTTTAAAAGAATTTTATTTTTATTTTTATTAAAAATAAAATTATTATAAAATTAATTCTAAACCCGTAATTTTCCTTTGTTTTATAATAGCTGAGCCATTACATTGACTTTTTATATTCTTGGAAAAAAAAAAAATGCCAAGACTTTTTGTAAGCTTGTTTTGAATGTGTCCTGCGTACCTATCTGCATCGGAATAATCAGTTGAAAGAAACGAACATAGGAAGTCTTTGAATCAAGAAACGATTTTCAAGAAATTCCAATATCTCAGCCGATTCCCCCATGTTCGCCAAGCGCTTCTTGCAGAAAGCTACTCTCCATTCTCAGGTACTTTCAACTCTCAGCAATCGACCCTTTGCGACTCTTCCACCATTTTCTTTCTTCTTCGTTCAGCTTCAGCTCCGAAGAAATTTTCCAATTTTCCATTTCATTTCTAATGAGGATGATCTAGTTTTTTTCTTTTTTTTTTTTCACTTGAAATTCCGTTCTTTTAATGAATTATTATGAATCTTTTTTCGCCGCTTAAAGTTTTGAAATTTATCGTTGTTTGGTTTTGAGCATGTGCTAGTTGTTTAATGTGTATGTCTTCTTATTACTGTATTTGTTTTCGAGTAGATTTATTGGTTTCGAAGCTTTAATGGAAGGAATTCTTATTACTGTTTGATTTTAGTCAATAAATTTCGTTGGCTTTGGAGCTAAATTTTTGGAACCGATAAAGAGAGTGGAATTAAGTTAGTTCACAAGAATGTGCTAGTTGCTTAATGGGTTTATTTTCTTATACCTGTTTGATTTGGTTTAATGAATTTTATTGGTTTTGGAACCTAAAATTATTAAACCAGAAAATGGAATGAATTCCACTAGGATGTGTTAAGAGTAAATGGAATGAATTCCACCAGAAAATTTTGTTGGTTTAATGTATTTCTTCTTCTTTCTGTTTGATTTGATTCATATCTTGTATGAGTTTCGAAGCTAAAATTTTCAAGCCGGTATAGAAAATGGAATCAAGTTCAAAAGCCTGTGAATAGTTTCTATAAGACTTTTCCCCCCCTTCGTCTTATTATGTTGTTTTCACCAGAACTTGCAACACGGCAGTTTGACGGAAACAGACTTGGACCTGCGAATTGCAGTTCACTATGGCATCCCGTCTACATCTTCTATTCTCGCGTTCGACCCCATTCAACGCCTTTTAGCCATTGGGACTCTGTGAGTTAATAAGCACCTTTTCTTTTTTTATTCTTTTACCTTGTTTGTTTTGGATTACGATCGAAGTGTGAGTTGCTAGCTAGGAACTAGGATTGCCTTGTGGCTCATTTTCAAAAACTATTTGGCAAAGAAAAAATTAAAGAGAAACCAAAAAAAAAAGAAAAGCGGCTGAATGAAACTGCTTCTTAGGAGAGTGCTTGTTGTGCATTTCATTTCTGTGGTACCAACGCATGGTGTTCACTTGAATGAATTCATAGTTTTCATGCTTCCTTCTCTGGAAAGTTTGGCTTCCTGCGTCTCTATCTTATGTGCTTCACCCCCACCAAGATGAATTAGAATTCTGGAGATGCATGGACTTCAGTGATAACTTTCATTCGAGGATCATATTTTGGGGAGAGAGAAATCATGGGCTTTGAACAAAATTTAGGAAATTCCCCTCCACCTTTGAACTATATTGATTGGTGGGAAATAAGATGCCTTGGGAGTCTAGGTCCTTTGTGCAATAATAAATGAATAAAAGAGTAACAAGATATATATCTTGAGATGTCACGTTGGCATAGCCGGGGAACCACATTGTCACTATAGTACTCTATTTTTTATTTTATTTATTTATATATATATATATATAAATATATTTTTGGGCAGGGATGGAAGGATTAAAGTGATTGGCGGCGATGGTAGAGAAGGACTTCTTATATCCCCAAAGCAATTGCCCTTCAAATACATTGAGGTATACATGAAGTATGAATTACTGAAAACATTAGGATACAGTGCTGATATTAATGCGTGTAGCATATTTAGATAACAAAATGACAACCCAAGACATCCCAAACCGTGTATCTTTATGTTTATGTGTATATATATCTTCATTTTCCTTTCTCATTGTTTTCCTTATTCCTTGAGCGGCAGAGATAATAATGGTGTTGTTTTGGCAGTTTCTGCAAAACCAGGGTTACTTGGTTAGCATCTTAAATGACAATGACATTCAGGTACAAGTCTTTATTTACTTTCAAACTTCCGTGTCTCTAGTAAAAACTCAATTCCATCACAATTTGGACAATTAAATATTAAGGAGGTAACTCCTTTGAACTTTTATTCATGTGTTCTTCATACATTACCAACTTTATAGTGCTCTTAAATAGTGTTTTTTTTTTTTTCAACTTTCAATAGCTATATATCGTTTTGTTTGATTAAAACAGTTGCTTGGTCATATTTTGCAAATTTGATCACTATTTAATCAGGGTAGCAAGTAGTAGTTGACAATGGTGTGTATTTTGCAATGCTAGCTGAATTTCAGCCGAAAGGCCTCTGGGTTTTAGTTTCTTTGAATATCAATTTATCTACTTTGATCATTAAGGTTTAATTTTCCCAGGTTTGGAATCTTGAGAGCAGATGTCTTGTTTGTTGTTTACAATGGGAAACCAATATAACTGCTTTTGTTGCAATCCATGGCTCCAACTTCATGTACATTACTCACTGAAAGAAGTTAATGTTACTCATATTTTCATCAGCTGATGATTGGCTGGCAAGTTGAAGAGTATTGGACAATCAATTCATAACAAGTTTGCTGTATTGCAATTTGCAGGTATGTCGGTGATGAATATGGTTTGATGTCTGTGCTGAAGTTCAATGCCGAAGAAAGAGCAGTTTTGAAGTTTCCCTATCATATTTCTTCGAATACTATAAGTGGTAATTTATTGTTCTCAGTGTTTGATCTTTGAATAATTTGTTCAACTCCAAAAAATAAGAAGTTGTATATCTTTCATTCCCAAATTAAACATTTTCCTAAAATGTCTTGATTTTCTGTAATGAACTAAACGTCTCTTAAAATTTATCATTAAATCTGTGGGTTATGTTTACTTCTATTTCTATTTAATGCCATTCTTTTACCTTTTAGCAGATGTTGTCGAGTCTCCATTTCCTACTGATCAACCCGTTGTTGGAATTCTTCCCCAACCTTGTTCTTCTGGAAATAGGCAAGACGGATTTCCATTATAGCTTGTATTAAATAAATTCTTATATTGCAAAATTAGAAGCTGAAGCTACTTCCCTTAACTCTTGAAGTGGCTTCCTATCTAAGGCATATGCTCCAGTACTTTGTTAGTCTGCAAACAACCTTATTGATGGTGTAAGTTTGGTCGACATTAATGCTAAATAAAGCAAGTCATCCATTCTGGTGGATGTGGAATGGGATGATGTTCAAAGTTTGGACATTGCAGAGAAGTTATTGAATGTAGTTTGTGCTGCTTGTAGGAAACATGATGATTACATGACTTCAGCTCCATCCATACTTGCATCTTGAATCTATTTAAGTTGGTACTGAAGTCTGTTGCGTTGTATCTAATGAACAACTTAGTAATGCTATTTTTTTCTCTCTCTCTCTCCTTCCTTTCATTTTTGACACTATATCTTTGCTGAGGTTAGATATGTTATTACTTGAGACTACATTTGTCACTGTATCTTTGCTGAGGTTAGATCTATGATTACTTGAGACTATAAGAGAGAACATGGAACTTTACGGCCATCTATTATAAGTGCTTAATTATGAGTGTTAATAACTTCTTTCCATTTTATTTTTTATTATTAATTTATCTTGCAGAGTCCTGATTGCATATCAGAATGGATCAATTGTGTTATGGGATGTTTTGGAAGCCCGAATTGTTTTTTCTGGAGGTGATAAGGATCTCCAATTGAAGGACGAAGTAGCAGAAGCCTCAACTGCAGCCAATGTAAATTCTTTAGAAGATAAATCTGAACATCCTTTAGGAGAGAAAGAGATAAGTGCTCTTTGTTGGGCATCTTCCAGTGGGTCCATTCTTGCTGTGGGTTACATAGATGGAGATATTCTGTTTTGGAACACATCATCTGTAGCTTCTAGTAAAGGTCAACAAGCATTGTCATCACCTAACAATGTTGTTAAGTTAAGATTATCATCTGCGGAAAGGAGACTCCCTGTCATTGTCTTACAGTGGTCTGCAACTAATAAGTCCCGTAATAATTGTGATGGCCAATTATTTATTTATGGTGGAGATGAAATAGGATCTGAGGAAGTTTTGACGGTAATGTTAACTTTTGTTGGATGTTTGTCTGTTTTTATGGTTGAAGTGTGTTGCATTAAAAAGAGCTAAGTGGGCAAGCTACATATAATTTATAAGATGCTAACTTTTTTGACAAAACATGTATTATCTTGAAAAGAGTAAAGGACTTTTGGGTTTAACTAATTCAGAATTTTCGTCTGTATCAGATTCCTTTGTTATATTTACATTTAACAAAAATATTGACATTTTTTACCATTATCATTCTGCCACTTTTGAATAGTGAAGTGGTATTTTATTCTAAGTTCTCCTAACGCCCAACTTAAAATGTGTTCTTAATTTTCTGCCTCTTACTACAGGTTTTAACACTTGAATGGTCGTCTGGAATGGATACTTTAAAATGTGCTGGTCGCATTGATATTACACTTACTGGCTCTTTTGCTGACATGATTTTGTTACCAAGTGCTGGGGCAATAGGGAGTCAAAAGAAAGCTGATGTTTTTGTACTAACAAGCCCCGGACAACTGCATTTCTATGATGATGCTAGCCTTTCTTCCTCGTTGTCCCAGCAAGACAGGAAACCATCTTTTAGTGCTGTGGAATTTCCTGCCATGATACCAATGAATGATCCGACCATTACTGTTGCTAAACTTTTTACCCTTCGGACCGGGGAAGACTCATTAAACACTCTATCAGAGGTATTGCATCCTTTTTTTTTTTTTTTTTGAAGAATGGATAATCTTATTTTTCTGATAAAAACTGTCAGAGGATAATTTTATTCTCTTTCCAGTTGACCTCAAATTTGAAACCTGGTTCAATTACAACCCCGGCTAGTGGTGTAAAGTGGCCATTGACTGGGGGTGTGCCCAGTCAACTGTCTACTACTAAAGATAAAAGGATAGAGAGACTGTATCTGGCTGGGTATTCAGATGGGTCTGTTCGGATATGGGATGCTACTTTGCCAGTCTTAAGTTGTCTTTTGGAAGGCCAGGTAAGTGTCTTAATAAAGGTTTTATTAAGTGTCTTAATAAAGGTTTTATTATTACTTTGTTCTCATTAGCAGGGGGCCTATTCTTGATAGTAAATTATGCTATATGACTAAAAGGTGCAAGGTATTAAAGTGGCCGGTTCAAGTGCTCCTGTTTCAGAATTGGATTTTTGCTATCTCACTTTTAGTTTGGCTTTAGGCAATGAATGTGGACTGGTGAGATGTCAAGCATATTATTTGAGTCTTGTGGTCAATTTTCTGTATTCTTAATAAACTTTTATGCCTTTTTGATATATTATTATATGTATTATGTATGGATTATATAAAAAGAGAGAATCACCTTTTTTTATTCCTTTTTCTTTTCTTTCCTTATAATTCTATTGGCTTGTATAGGTTTGTATTTATGATCTCAAAGGCTGCTCAAACGGAACAAACTTCCACTTCGTCACAGAAACTAAGCATGAAGGTAAACTGTAAATGACAAGCATCACGATGATTGCACCTCGTTGGTTTTTGCCTGTTTCTTTTGGGCCAAAGGGGAATGAAGTAACAGTATGATGCAGAGTAAATACAATATGACTTTTCAGATACGTGGTGATATAAATTAACAGTTCTTCAGAATGGTAAAGCAGGGATTTGCCTAATTGTAAATACTTGCAGATACTAAATTTTTCTTAGAAGTAGCTTACAGTTTCAACTATGACTTTAAGCGATTGAACATTCATGATGTAAATATGTCAGGTCAACATACAATAAATGCATTTTATTTAATGAGTAATGCTTACAGTCCTAATCCGTTGTCTGTTCTTTTATATTATATTATTTATATATACATATATATATATATATATATAAGATCAAAGTGTATTGGGACATGCTTAGAACTATCCAAGAAACATCATTTACGTTTGCATGGCATATGCCGTATGGGGAAATACTAGAATCTAATCTCCGGTGTGGATGGTATTGCAGCTTTGTTGTAAAGTTATATAAAAAAATTATAAGAAATAAGGTAAACTAGGAAAAGTAAGTGACATGGAATATAAGCTTTTGGAAACAAGAGTATCATTTTCATTTTTGTGATTGCTTGATGTCCAGCTGAAGAACTTCTGAAGACTGCGATAGACAGTCTCTCATTTTTTTATAATGCTTCCTTAGTTTTCATTCAAGGCATTGTGGAACACTGGAAATATTCTTCAGCTCTTGATGTATTGTTAGAGTGGAAGCTCTATTCACTGAGAAACATGTTCATTTTTCATTCACACACCATGATATTTGCTTTACACTGAAGTTATGTAGTCAGAGCTTTTTACTTTCAGTAGTTGACATTATACTTTTTTTTTTTACAGTTCACATTTTGTCTCACGAAAAAGGGCTTCAATGTAGTGCTGTTTTTTCTCTAACCGATTCCCCAGTTCAAATGTTAAAGTATATTCATTCTGGGGCTAAACTTGCTATTGGATTTAAATGTGGCCGTGTGAGTAACCTGTATATTTCTCTTACTCTTTATCTTTATTGTCATTAGAACCATCTTGAATGCTGGACTGTATTTTAAGCTTTTTCAATGTCAACATACCAATTTAAGTTACTTCATTATTCAGAAAGATGCCTAAAATTTAATTTTTCTTTTCAGGTTGGAGTAATTGACATGAGTACCTTATCTGTTGCGTTCTTTCTGAATGATATATCTTGCTCTGGCTCACCAGTCGTTTCAATAATGTCGAAAGAACTTACCAATTCTCACAGCCTTGTGAAGAGCCCAAAGCACTCAGAAGCAAACAATGTGACAAACGCTGTAAAGGAAGTAATTTTCATCTTGACAAAGGATGCAACGATGAAAGTGATTGATGGTTGTAATGGTAACATGATCAACACACGGCAATGGAACTTGAAAAAGGAATCAATTGCAATTTCAATGTATGTTATAGGCAAGTATTGATTTTGTCTTCAAAAGAATAAGATATATATATATATATATATTTTTTTTTTTTGTATATATAAACGTTATTATAGATGACAAAATATTGAGAAGCCTTTTTGGTTCCAGAGGGTAACATTTCTTCTAAGTTATGCAATGAAAAGCAGACGGAAGAGTCCACAAGGGACACTGCTACTATAGAGGAGCCTGTTCCAGATGGTTCGCAGGCTGGAATAAGTTCACATGCAATTGAACACAGGTCTTCTTCAGATACTGCATGCTCTGAGGAAAGTTTATTGGACTCATTTCTTTTGCTATGTTGTGAGGATTCAACACGCTTGTTCTCCACAAAATCTGTAATTCAGGTGCCTCTCACATTCTTTATTTTTAATTACAATACTTTTGTAGCTTTAGATCCATGCTAAGGAATTACCATCTTTTTAGGGAAACAATAAGCCTGTTTGTAAAGTGAAATATGCAAAACCTTGCATTTGGACCACAACTTTTAAGAAAGATCAAAGACTTCAGGGGTTGGTCTTGCTGTTCCAGACTGGAGGAATTGAGATCAGGTGATGTGTTTTCTCCCATTATGTTTGTGCCCAGCCAGAACAACATAAGTAAAAGAATAATGGAGGATGAGAGACATCAAAAACCACATCAAATTTTTAAGATCGTCTTCCATTTCAAATTTTCTAATGACAACCTAATGTGCTCCCTGCTTCTATGATACCCTATTGGTTAATAATTTTAGATATTAAATTTAGTGTTGATATGTCTATGCTTTGCAGATCTATACCGGACTTGGAATTGGTGAAAGAGAGCTCCTTGATGTCTGTATTAAGGTGGAATTTCAAGGCAAACATGAATAAAATGATGAGCTCTTCTGATAATGGACAAATTACACTGGTATGATTTCTTCAAATTTGAAAATATCAAATTCTACTTAATATCTTGCACTTAGAGATATAAGGCCCTTTTGGAAGGTATACTCAAACCATGATTCTTGTTTCTGAGGTTTGAAATTTAAATTTTTTGTGCGGAAAAACACTTTAGCAGAATCAATGATTTAAGTTTGAGTATATGAAACAAACGGGCCTATAATCTATTTGATGGATTCTTATGTTGACTTCCCTACAGGCAAATGGGTGTGAAGTGGCATTCGTCTCTTTATTAGCTAGTGAAAATGATTTTAGGTATTCTTTTGTTGTTTGTAGCTATTGCTTTAATCTTTTCTTTCTTTCTTTTTTCTTAAAAAAAAAATAATAATAATAAAGCTCAATAGAGGGTTTTTTTTTTTTCCCCCTTATAATCTTATCAATATTTTCCCATGTTTTCAGGATTCCAGAGTCTTTGCCTTGTCTTCATGATCAGGTTCTTGCAGCGGCTGCAGACGCTGCCTTTAGTTTCTCTATAAATCAGAAGAAAAAGCAGGTCAGAAATTATATTATTATCTGTAGTTGTCTGTTTTATGATGAATATTTCTATTCACACGTAAACAGCATAATTATGTTGCTACAGGGTACTGCACCTGGAATTTTAGGTGGTATCGTCAAAGGCCTTAAGGGGGGAAAAGTGGACCATTCTCTAGATAATACTAAAACTCCTAAATCAACTTTCAATCATTTAGAGGGGATATTTTTGAAGTCTCCACGCCCAAACTCATTTCAACCTGTAGATCATGAAGAAGCTGCAGAGCTCGATATAGGTTCTTGTCGAGTACAATATTATTCTTATTCTGCTGAGCACGTTAATGATTTACTTACTATGTAATTACTTTTACTATAGATGATATTGAACTGGATGATATTGAACTAGATGAACCTCCACCGGTAGCGTCTACTTCATCTGATCTTAAAAACACAAAGAAAGGTAAATCTGAGACTTTGTTACATGTATTTTTTATGTCCATTTTTCTTGATTTTTAGACTAGAATTATATGCCTCATACTGCATAAACATTTAAGTTCAAATGTAAACTAGTGTACTTCTTTGCAGAAAAGGGATCCGAAAGGGAAAGACTGTTTGAAGGTGGTACAGATGATGTGAAGCCCAGATTGAGAACTCCTCAAGAAATTAGGGCTGCCTATGGCAAAGCTAGGGTAATGTAGATGATGTTTTTAGTAGTAATGAAAGAAGTTATAGCTCTTTAGCTTAATGCAATGTGGTAAAAAACTATTTCAGGATGCTTCTTCAGTGGCTGCAAATGCAAGAAATAAGCTTGTAGAGAGGCAGGAAAAACTTGAGGTAAGATATTGATGTTATTGGCGAAAATGGTTCCACATTTAAACTTGGTTTGGTTCCCAAAAGGTTAGAAAATCAGGACAAATAGGTCCAACTGATAGTCATGTAGGGGTGTAATTTGCAAGTCTACGTGACGCCAGTGTGCTTTAAATCTGACTATTTACAGCTCAATAATCAAATAATGTGTCCGATTGCAAATTGTGACAAGAGATTATAACGAACAAAAGGACCACTATGAGTTGAACTTGTAAAGGAACAGAGGAGCTTGAAAGAACCCGAATTAGGAAGTTAATGAACTATAGAATTCCAAGTGTCTGATTTAGCCTATTTGTTGATAAGAGTGATAAGCCGAGACAGGTGTATGTGAGGAGGGGTAATAAAGGGTGACGTGGAGTTATTAGTATTGTTAGTGTTAGTTAGTGGGGTTTCTGTACAGTGCGGAGGTGTACTGGGGTCTATCGTGTGTAATGTAGAGAGGTATTAATAGGCCAGAGTTGGATCAGAGTGGTAGGAAATGACTGGAGTTGAAAAGAAAGACTTGGCTGAGGCTGAGCACAGGAGAGAGAGTCCTTCGTTGAGTCTGTAGTTCAATTTGTTAATCAATAAAGATTCCATCTTTCATTCTTCTTGATTCATTTTCAGTGGAAGAACTACTCTGTACTTATCAATTTGGTATCAGAGCGTAGATTCTGGCAGATATGGCGGCTAGGAAAACAAATGAGAGGTTCGAGTTGGTGGAGAAAGAGATCAAGGAAGTTAGGGTTTCCATGGAGAAAGGAATGGGCGACATGGAGAAAAGTCTCAGAGAAGTTAGGGTGGAATTGTCTCAGAATAGGACAGATATGTTCGAAATTCGCCGGCTAATGGAGGAACAGATGAAACTCCTTTCGTCGGCCACGTCAGCGCCGGAGAAGACGGTTGCGGCTACGGCCGAGGGGGATCACGGACTAAATCGCGCCGGAGAAGGTCGCGAGTTGAATCGCGCAGGTGATCGCGGACCTAATCGCGCCGTTGATGACCGTGATGTGAATCGCGAGGGTGATCGCGCAGGGATTCTTGCCGGAGAGGCTCGGGAGACAAATCGTGCCGGCGAGCGAGTGGAAATACGTTTAGGTGAGGAAAGGTCGATTAACCCTAGGGTGACGCAAAATGTGTTGTGTCCGGTGGGGGATTTTGGCTAGCGAGAACAAGGCGTCGATCGTGCGATGGAGGGAAGGAATCCTCGAAATCCGGGTCGCGAGGGAAGAGAGGATGGGCGAGGGTTGGCGAGGGGTGCTCCTTGGGGCACTCAAGGAAAACATTGGAACGGACATCGTGGTGAGGGGCATGGATTTTTCTTGGACGGTGAGTCCATGGATTTCGATGATCGACGGAATGGGACCGGCGTTCCTGTTCATCGAGGAGGAGAAAGGGGATGGAACAGTAATGTTGGAGATAGGTGTAGAGAAAACTGGGAGGGCGGAGGTGTTTTGGAGGAGTTGTCGGTGAATGAAGATTGGGCGGGCCTTCGTCGGAGACAGGCAGAGTGCCCTATCTTTGGTGGAGAGGATCCTGATGGTTGGTTGTTCCGTATGGAACAGTTTTTCTCCATAAATCGATGCTCGGACAGGTTAAAACTCATCACCTCGGGAATTTCGTTGGAGGGGGATGCCCTGTCATGGTTCCAATGGTAGAATGGCCGCAGGCCTTTCCATAATTGGTCGGAGTTTAGGGTCGCTTTGTTGCAAAGATTCCGCTCCTCGCAAGAGGGCAACCTCTGCGAGAGGTTTTTGGCAATACGGCAGGGGGGTACGGTAGCCGAATACCATAGACAGTTTGAGGTTTCAGCGGCCCCATTAAGGGATGTGCCGGAGGAGGTATTGGAGGGAATTTTTGTAAATGGACTCAAGGTGCAGATTCGGGCTGAGGTGAGACTCCTGAAACCGGTGGGGTTGGGGGAAATCATGGAGATTGCCCAGAGAATTGAGGAAAGAAATGAATTGCTGCGGCGGGAAGGGGCTGGAACCAAGTTTTCCCGACCACAATTTCATGGTTCTCGGAGGGCTGAGTCGTCACCAACTTTGGTTAGGACGGTGCCTGTAGTGGAACGTCCACAGCGGAACCCTGCATTGTTAGAGAAAACGGCAACTCAAAGACGAGATTTTCCATTTCGTAAGCTTTCCGATTCTGAGTTGCAGGAAAAGAGGGATAAACTATGCTTTAGGTGCGATGAGAAGTTCACCTTTGGCCATCGTTGTAAGAAGAAGGAGCTTCGGATAATGTTGGTTAGCGATGAGGATGCAACTGACTCTGAAGAGGATGATCCAACTTTACTAAGCTCAGATTGGGAGGAGGGGCAACCGGAACTTATTGAATTATCTTTGAATTCAGTGGTAGGACTTTCGACGCCAAAGACAATGAAGCTCCGGGGCACAATTGCTCAACAAGAGGTAATAGTGTTAATTGATTCCGGCGCAACTTATAATTTCATTTCATTGAGTTTTGTGGAGAGGGTTATGATTCCTATTGCACCCATTGCTGGGTTTGGGGTACAATTAGGGACAGGTGAATCAGTAAAAGGGAAGGGTATATGTAAGGAGGTAGCATTGACATTAGCACACTTGACCATAGTGGAAAATTTCTTGCCCCTTGAATTGGGGGGGGGGGGGGGGGGGGGGATTTAAGTCTTTCCACCACAATGATTTCTCTTAAGGCCATGGTTAGGACCATTAAACATGAGGGACATGGCATCTATTTAGAATTAAGTGCCTTGGATGCCAACAATGAACCGGATTTGGGGGTATTAGGGGATTTGGATCAGCAATTCCAAGGGGAGGTTAGTGTGGTCTTGCAGCGGCATTCGAAGGTATTACACATGCCGGAAGGGCTTCCTCCCCAAAGAATGCGGGATCATCGCATTATCCTTCAGGAGGGTACCGCCCCTATTAGCGTTCGACCTTATAAGTACCCTCATTTTCAAAAGAACGAGATTGAGAAATTGGTAAGAGAGATGCTTTCAGCGGGTATTATATAGCCGAGTAGCAGCCCATTTTCAAGCCCAGCTCTTTTAGTTAAAAAAAAGGATGGGAGTTGGCGTTTTTGTGTGGATTACCGGGCACTTAACAAGGCTACAATCCCCGATAAGTTTCCCATTCCGGTTATCGAAGAGCTATTGGACGAATTGAGTGGGGCCACCATCTTTACCAAATTGGATTTGAAATCCGGTTATCACCAAATTCGGATGTGCAAGGACGATATTCCGAAAACAGCTTTCCGAACGCATGAGGGACACTACGAGTTTTTGGTTATGCCCTTTGGGTTAACTAACGCCCCAGCCACTTTCCAATCTCTTATGAATGAGGTGTTGAAACCTTTTTTGCGGAAATTCGTTTTGGTATTTTTTGATGACATCTTGGTTTATAGTAGAACTCTTGAAGACCATATCAACCATTTGGATGTCGTTTTGTCTGCTTTGGAGGACAATCACTTATATGTGAACCAAAAAAAATGCATTTTTGCTAGTGGTAAATTGGAGTATTTGGGCCACACTGTCTCGGGCAATGGGGTGGCGGCTGATACTAGTAAGATTCAAGCAATGGTAGATTGGCCTACCCCTCGTTCTCTCAAGGAGTTGCGGGGTTTTTTGGGGTTAACGGGCTATTATCGGCGCTTTGTTTCGGGATATGGGCACCTTGCTTGGCCACTTACGCAACAACTGAAGAAAGACAACTTTCATTGGTCTAGCGAGGCGGAGGACGCCTTTAGGAAATTGAAACAGGCCATGACCACAGTTCCGGTTTTGGCACTGCCGAATTTTGGCCAGCCATTTATCATGGAATCGGACGCGTCAGGGTTTGGGATTGGCGCAGTCTTGATGCAACATCAGCTGCCCATTGCTTACTTCAGTCAAGTGTTGTCATCACGTGCTCGAACGAAACGGTATATGAGCGCGAGCTCATGGCTGTGGTCCTCGCCATTCAGAAATGGCGCCATTACTTATTGGGACGTCATTTCATTGTTCGAACGGATCAAAGGAGTCTAAAGTTTTTGTTGGAGCAAAGACTAATCAGTGAGGACCACCAAAAATGGTTGTGTAAGTTGTTGGGGTACGATTTTGAGATCCAATACAAGCCTGGATCTGAAAATCGGGTGGCTGATGCGCTGTCTAGGCAACCGTCTGGATTGGAATTGGTCCATCTGGCCACTTCGGCCATATATGACGGGGCTGAAATTTGTCAACAAATCCAGAGGGATCCTCGGCTGGCCGCTATTCGGGCTGCTCTCGTGGCTAATTCCGCAACGGTGAAGGGGTTTTCGTTGTGTAATGGCATGTTGTTGTATAGGGGGCGGGTGGTCCTACCCAGGCATTCTCCTCTCATTCCGGCCCTATTGGCAGAGTTTCATGGCAGCAAGATTGGGGGCCACTCGGGTGTATTAAAGACCTTTAAAAGGTTGTCCTCTGAATTGTTCATGACTTTGTTAGTTTATGAAGTTGGAAAGGTCTTCCTCAGTCCTTTGGGCAGATATAAGGTACCAATGTTGGCTGTTAAAAGTCTAGGCCTAGCTACATTAAATATGCAAGCCTGACAGCTAAAAATATCTACATACAATATAATAATTAGTTGTAAGGGCTTATAAATGTTTGAGACTAGTTTTTCAACGAAATTAGTTTTTAAAAGGTTGTCCTCTGAATTTTTCTGGTATGGCATGAAGCGGGATGTGTTATCCCTGGTGGCAGCTTGTCAGATTTGCCAACAGAACAAGACCTCTACTTTATCTCCAGGAGGTTTGCTGCAGCCGTTGCCTCTTCCAAGTCAGGTATGGGATGATATCTCCATAGATTTTCTGGAAGGTCTTCCAAAGTCGGCTGGTCATGACTCTATTTTAGTAATTGTGGACCGGCTTAGTAAGTATGCCCATTTTTTGGCCCTATGTCATCCGTTTTCGGCAAAATCGATGGCTGCGCTGTTTGTTAAGGAGGTGGTCAGGCTCCATGGGTTCCCTCAAACCATTGTGTCCGATCGCGACAAAGTTTTTCTCAGCCAGCCATTTTTGGAAGGAGCTTTTTAGATTGCAGGGGACTTCGTTGCATTACAGTACGGCTTACCATCCTCAATCGGATGGCCAAACGGAGGTGGTTAATAGGTGTTTGGAAGCTTATTTACGTTGCTTTGTCTCAGGAAAACCGACTCACTAGTTTTCTCACCTTGCTTGGGCTGAATATTGGTATAATACGAGCTTCCACGTCTCCGCGGGAATGACTCCTTTCCGTGCGTTGTATGGTCGTGATCCGCCCAAGTTAGTTCGTTTTGAGTTAGGCTCTACAGCTAACTCTTTGTTAGAGCAGCAAATGCAATCCCGGGATGACATTTTGGACGAGCTTCACGCACATTTGTTGCAGGCTCAGCAGGCGATGAAAGCGCAGGCGGATCTTAAAAGAAGGGATGTGTTTTTTGAGGTAGGGGATTTGGTATTTCTGAAACTTAGGCCATATCGACATCGTTCCTTAGCCAAGTTCTCCAATGAGAAACTCTCTCCTCGGTTTTATGGTCCTTACAAGGTTATCATGCGTGTCGGGCCCGTGGCATATCGGTTGCAACTACCTGCGGCTACGAAAATCCACCTGGTTTTCCATGTGTCGCAACTTAAGAAGGCCATTGGCCTGTCTTTACCGGCTCAGGAGGTTCCGCGGGGCCTAACAGCTGACATGGAGTTGCGCGTCGAACCGGAGAGGCTGCTGGCCACTCGTTTTTCACCGGTGACGGGGCAGTTGGAGGTTTTGCTGCAGTGGCGTCATTTGCCTGACTACGAGGCTTCTTGGGAACTTTTTGATGTCATTCAACAACAGTTTCTTGAATTTCACCTTGAGGACAAGGTGACTTTTTTGGGGGGCGGAGTAGTTGATAAGAGTGATAAGCCGTTACTGAGACAGGTGTATGTGAGGAGGGGTAATAAAGGGTGACATGGAGTTATTAGTATTGTTAGTGTTAGTGGGGTTTCTGTACAGTGCGGATGTGTACTGGGGTCTATCGTGTGTAATGTAGAGAGGTATTAATAGGCCAGAGTTGGATCAGAGTGGTAGGAAATGACTGGAGTTGAAAAGAAAGACTTGGCTGAGGCTGAGCACAGGAGAGAGAGTCCTTCGTTGAGTCTGGAGTTCAATTTGTTAATCAATAAAGATTTCATCTGTCATTCTTCTTGATTCATTTTCAGTGGAAGAACTACTCTGTACTTATCATTTTTCCTATGGTAAAAATGACTTTGCATGTCGGTCATGTGTAGTGGAAATTTATAATTACTTTAGTTGTGCACGCAAACGTATATGCGCGTTCACATTTGTACTACTTTGTTCATTTTTTTTTTTTCCTATTATGTTACCATTATCAAAATGAAGACTTTTATGTTCACACTATTCCAACTTTTAAGGAATTACACTTTCAACTGGCACATCTTGAATGACTGGGTGAACTGACCATCACTGTATTATCAGCGAATCAGCAAGAACACCGAAGAGCTTCAAAGTGGAGCTGAAGACTTTGCATCAATGGCAAATGAGCTCGTAAAGACGCTAGAAAATCGAAAATGGTGGCAGATATGAACAATTGGCTTCGTTAATATTTGCTTGTGGTGGTCTGCGTATTCTACGTGTTTGGCGGCATAGGAGAATTCCCTCTAAGCCTTAAAAGTGAGAAATGTGGTTCTCTAAAGGTGAATTGGAAAGACGAATGGATTTCATGTGCCTTTTAAGATGTCAAGTATAGGATAATCACTACATTTACTTATACTAGTTTTTTAGCGCGCGGGTAAAAATCAAATAAAAAACTGATTTCACATGTAGTGAAGTTTTTGTTTATAGTTTAGAATTAATTAGTTTAGATTTATTTTAAAGATAATAATTTCTCATTTCCCTAAATTTAATCTATGATATAGAATGTCCTAAATCAATTATAAGTGCTCTTGTATGATCTATCAAGGACTTCAATTATTATTATTTTTTTTTTAGTAAACTTCTATTAAATTTTTAACTAATAAATAAAAATAAAAATAATAAACAATTTTTTTTTCATGGTTCAAGTTAAAAGTACTTCAAATGGTGATGCTCTTGCCGATTGCTTTTTCGTTAGTCGCTTGACAACAGGTCTTGGAGTCTTTTTGTGTTTATTATGTTTTTATTTTTTGTGTGTTTTTACTATAATAACTGGGGTTTTCACCCTATTGTCTTTGTTTGTTTTTGGTGTCTGTTAGATTAGTGTCTTGGCGGTGTTTGGTGTAGCCTTAGTGCTACGATGTTTTGTCCCTTCATCACTCAAAAACTTATCTTACTGAGAGATGTTTTATCTCATGTGCTCGATCTTAGTGTGCTGAGATATTCTCTCATTTTTGGGCCTCAGGTGTACGTCTGTTCCCCAGTTAGGTCATTAGCCTTCTATTGTGTTTATTACTCTGATTTTTTTTTTTTTTTTAGTTGTAAGTTCCGTGAGACATGAGTTTTATTAAAAAAAAAAAGTACTTGAAATGGTGAACTCATTTTAAATTAGAACAAGGATAATATTATTGTATTATGAAAATAAAACCTATTTTTTACAACATAAAATCAAATAGAACACTTATTAGGGTGCAGATATGGAAAAGAAAAAGATATTTAACTAAAGGCATATAAAACATAATAAAAAACAAATCAAATAGAAAACTAATTAGGGTGTATGTATCAGAAGTAGAAAGTTGTTTGATTTTGGGTATTCACAACTTAAACTTTTTACTATAGTATTTTCTCTCATAAAAATTCTAATTTAACTATTTTGCTACAATTTTTTTCTTACATAAATTTAATTTTTAACTCAAGTTCTCAATGTGAACTCGCGACAAGAATGGGTCCCTAATGTAACATATATAGAGGATTATAATAAAAGTATTGGAGTAGAGAAAATATTTTTTGAAAAAATATTTGAATTGAGAAGTTAGAGAAAAAGTAATTAATGAAGTGAAAGAAACATGAAAAGGAAAAATAATTTTAATAAAGTGAAAGAAACAACCTTTTGTATATATGCAGATTATACGGTCTCTCATGTAAAAGTCAAATGTCAATGCTACGCAAAAGAAGCATGGAAATAGTATATTTGTTTTTTTTTAAGACAAATAGTATATTTGTTATGTTATTCTATTTTGCGCTCTGCTCTAATGTAATGATGTTTAAAATGTTAGATTTTTGTTATATTTAATGAGCTCTCATACTAAATATAGTATATGCCAGCAAAAAAAAAAAGAAAAAGAAAAAAGAAAAATATCAATGAATTTGGGAGTGATTTTTCAACTCAAACGTCAAAATATGGCATTGACGTGTTCATTTGGCACTTTATTAAAGATGCTCTCAGGACATAAATATTAGAGAAAATTGTTAAATTTATTCTTAGAGTGTATGAGTCTAAATTTTTATCTTTTAATCTTATTAATCTTTTGATTATTATAGTTATTTGAGTAAGAAAAATATTAATTAAGAGTAAGTAATAAAAAAAAAAATAGAAGCGGACCAATTTCACATTAGAAAACACACAAAAAGTGAGAAATACGTTGTCCAATCTATTTGATAGCACCACAAAGGTACTGGAGGAAAAAAAAAAGCAAAAAAAAATAGAATATAGAGCAAATGACATTCATGAGAGGAGATAGCGACAATGGCAGTATAATTCTAAGTAGGAGATGAGGCACGAGGCATTTTGAGGATTTTTGAATTTTTATATGAAAAATGCTATTAATGTTCATGCTTTAAAATTCAAGCTATTAGTCTTTTCTCCCCTCAAAATATATATGTTATTTCCTCGTTCTTTCTATTTTGTAAGAATATAATTTTAAGGATAAATTATACGTTTTCCTCTTGAATTATAGACCTTGTAATAAAATGTCATCTGAATTTTAATTTTAGTTTTTTTTTTCTTTTAAACTTTAACAACTCTTACAAATTTTTCTCTTTTATTAAATTTCTACTATGTTATTGCTTTTGGCTGCCATTGACTAACCCCTAAAGTTCCTTCAATTAAATTAAGGAGAAAGCTAAGTATGGTAGAAAAAAAGGATAATTCATGCGCGTAATTACACTTTCAAGTAACTATGAGCTAACAGAATAATTGTTTACTAAATTATTCAACGATACTTATTATTTATGTAATGCGTGTTATTTTGTTAATTTTTATATTTCACATGATATTTTCCATAAAAAAAATTTAACAGAGGAGAAAAATTTGCAAGAGTTACTGGAGTTGGGGAGAAAAAAAATTAAAATTAAAGTTTGAGAGAGATATTTTGTGACAATACATATAGTTCAAGAGTAAAACGTGTAATTTGTCCTAATTTTAATCACATTGTGCATTTAGGGCACTTCTCCTTAAATTATCTTTTGGTTCTTCACTCACTCTATTTTGTTTGGGCCTTTGGCCTTCTCATTCACTTCATGTCATCATGTTTAACCCAATCCAGATCAGACAAAGCTAAAAGCTTGTAATCCTTGTATGCCTTATCCAAGTCACCAAAATTCTTTGCACGGATATTGGTTAAGTAGAGAAGTCAACAACGTCGGCAGGTGGGGATTTCAAGCTGAACAAGAATGCAGAAAAGGGTCAACAACGGCGGCGGCTACAACACCTCCAAATCAATATCGATACTCAATAAATCATAAGTTTGGACCGGCGTCACGGGAGTTTCTCTGTCAATTATTAGACAGTGCATTACTGTATTTCATAATTAGATGATGTATTACTGTAATAAAATTTAAATTTTAAATTTAAATCGGTGAAATAAATTAGATTATAAAATATTATAATATCTAATTATATTTGGATCAATCAACAATTAAATTTTTTTTTAAACATAATACGTTTATTATCATTTTTTTTATTATGAACTAAAATGAGTGCTGCACAAAATCTTTGGACTCCTTTGCCATTCTTTTTATCTTTTCATCTTTTTGCAATAGAGCTATTATTTTCACTTGATCACTGAAATTCTTGAGCAGATAAAATCTTGAATTCCACTAGTATGTACAACCGGTTGGAATCAAGATTTTGCATATCAAAAATCTTCAATTCCGTTATTTATTGTTTCACTAATATTTATTAATTTTCCATCTTTGAATTATTAACACATGTTGTCAACTTTGATTTACGTTCATTATTTATAGTTTCTACAGGTTTTTAATATAAAATGAATTCAATTATGTATAGGATTAATTCTGTGAAATTTCAGGCATCTTAAAATAAGAAACAAGATAAGGATAATTGGAAAAACAACCATTTTCCTTATAGAGCCACTTTTGATCTCTTTAACTTGATGAGAAATAATACTAACGCTAAGTTACAATTGCTTTGATGCCATCTTAGTTATTTATTACTGTTTTACGTGTTACAAAGTTTCTGAATTTATTACCTCAACTCTACATTTATAGGAATTGGGAGCAACGCCCTTAGATGTCGCCTCATTCAAGGTCCCCTAGAAAATTTTGATATTAGATTGGCATATATGAAAACCATCAAAAAATTGACCACCGGGACGAGCATCACCGGTCAGTGAACCGACCCAAAAAAGCCTCCTTGACTTAGTGCTCGTCTTCATCTTTTCAAACTGATGATCGTTTTGTCTGATCAAAAAATTCAAAATCACCGATTACAAATCGAAGAATAGCCTAACATACGACTAGATTTGACAGTAGTTCTTAATCTGTCATTCTATCTTTTGACAGCAGTTAAAATTGTCATCAACTTCTTTTTTTCTTTTTTTCTTTTTTGTACTGGTTGGACTTGGTATGTTTTGCTATTTGTTTTTGGGCTTTCTCCACGGTGAGACTCTCTAAAAAAACACACCAATAGAACACCTTATTTTAACCGTTAAATTACTTTTTCAACGGTTAAATTTATTGCGAGAACAATTTAACTGACTATTGAAAATTTATTCTAATGGTCAAAATATGATGCTCCACTAGTATATATTTTTTTTAAAAGATCTCACCGTAAAAGCTCAATTGTTTATGATGTTATTTCGGCCAATTTAGCCCATGAATAAAATTTGTTATTTCCCCTAAAAGCTGATTTTTAACCATCACGAGCGTTGTAACCGATTACCTTTATTGGGATCTAATGCAAAATAATCAAATTCTTACTTACAAGTCTAATCTCGATCCCCCATCCTTCAAACTAAATTGTCAATCTAAGAGACATGCACGAGTTTAGACTTGATAGGAACTACACTCCGGTCGAGACTACCTCACCATAATCAAGTCCCACTTGTCGACCTGTAGGCCTGTTCTATTCGCGGGTCTAAGTTAAGATTTGAGTTATTTATGTGAAAGAAAAAAATTGAATTTAAATTTTATAAGAAAAAATATTATAATAAAAAATTTAAATTATAATTTAAATTGTAAAAAAAATGAGCATATAATAATAAATGAATAATAAACACACACATATGTATATTACCATTTTACAGCAAAGATGGGGGAAGGCCCGGCAAGCGTCAATGAAACAAGTTTCCACGTAACACGCAAATAAATAAAAAATATACTCACATAAACACGTAGAGCGCGTAACTCTAATAATAATAATAATAATAATAATAAAAATAAAAAATCATTAATAAAACGTTTAACTTATTAATTTAAAATTATTTTTAATTTATACATATTTTAAAATATATATTATAATAAATTATAAATTATAATTTAAATTATAATATGAATTTTCGTACTAAACGCCTCATAAATTAATTATGCGGATGGAAGAGTCAGACAAAGGCGTCGAGTATTCGTACCTCCAATTTGTCTGAGTGTACTTTATCGTACTCTTCTTTATATATGCTACCTAATCCTGTGTAGCTCTAGTGTGAACTATTTGACCACGATTTCAGGCTTTCTCTATAGTTAATTATAATAAACTCACAATCACATCCTCTCATTTTCTCTTCAAGAATCAATTTTTTGTCTTCCGTTTTGATTCGAAAATCGCATGTGGGTCGTGTTTCTGCTGCTGCTGACAAATTTGGACTCTGAATTGCCTTTAATTAGCTTTTCATTTTCACAAGTCCATTTCTTTTTAGTCTCTCTGTTTCCTGCTTCTCTCTCATTCTCTTTCTCCGCACTTTCTTTCCTTTTTTAACTTAAAATCTCCACTATCTTCCCAAATCCCATTTCGTTCTTAATCACATTGTACCATATCTAGCATTTTTCCAAGCCCATTTCTTCTTCCTATACAATCTTCTGATTTTCAACTCTTTTTTTTTTTTTTTCCCCCACCATGGCCAAATCAGAAGCTTCTAATGCCGGGTGCTTTTCAGGCATAATAAGGAGAATGTTGTGCACAGGAAATGTTCCAACACACCCATCAGACCAAATTACAGATAATTATTCCAAAACAACCATACTTGACGACATGAAGAAGCTAAAGAAAGACGAAAAGAAGCCCGAAAGCCAAGCTCAATCCGGTGGTGGGCCCAGCATAATTGCAAAGCTAATGGGTTTAGATTCTCTGCCCGCGGACACAAACTGGGCTCCCAAAGGAAGAACCCCAGATTCGTTTTCCCGCAGCAGATCAGTGAACTTCGCAGATTACTTGTTGAAGTTTGACTTAACCGATCAATCTCATTCTCACCAGCATCGCCGGGTGAGAACCTCCGTGTCGTTTCGCGAGGTCCCGGCGTCGTTTCGTCAGCAGAACCAAAACCATGATTTCCTAGTTGTTTACTTGGATAATTCAGATGATTCCTCCAAGGAAATGAAGAAATCTGAGATGGGATTTAGAGAAGAGAAGCAGGGGAAGAGGAAAGAGAAGAGTATAAAAGAATACCAGAGCGTGAGATTGAAGAAGGAGAATGAGAAGACCAACAACAGGATTTCGAAGTTAAAGAATGAGCCGAGAAAGAGAATTATGTCAAAGAATTCGAAGACTTTTAAGCAAAATGGAACTAAGGTTTTGGGCTCTGTTTTGCCTCGCAAGAAAAAGGAACAGAACAATGTCGGTGTAAAATTGAAGGTTTTGAAGCCACAAAACCAGAAGAAAGCACCGGCAAAATTCGCAAGAAAGCGAGAGAATCGACAAGTAAGAACGAAGATTCAGCCAATCGACAGCAATCCAGAAAATCTAAGCCCTGTTTCTGTTCTTGACGAAGTTTATAATCTGTACTCAGGTCAGTCTTCAGTTTTATTATTATATTCATATGGCGCATTATTCACAGGGCTAATTTTCTTATATTATTATAATTATTATTTTTGTTTTGTGTTTGTCAAGACTCAAGTTTTTATTGTATTTATTAGGGCTAATTTTCTATTAAATAGGCATAGTTATACATTTTAATTATTAGTGCTGGCTCACTTATTTTTCTTATAAAGTGAGTGTATAATTACAATTTTAAAAACAAATCACATCAAAACATTGATATCAACACTTGTACATATGCACATTTATCATCATCATCATTATTATTATTATTAGGGTTACGCACATTTTTTTAATGGCTGATTAATTTAATGTTTACAGAGGGACATTCAAGGGCAGAGAATCCATACTTAAAGACGGAACGTGAATTGAATGTTTCGTACGATAATGAGCTTAAATTGAGAAGAGTTGTGAAGAAAGACCATGGGAAAGCAGAGAATAAAGACATGGAGGATTTCACAGAGTTGGCTGAACAACTGCGCAAGTTAGCCGAGGAAGATTTGAGTCAGACATATTGGATTAGTGCTACTACTAGTACTACTAGAGCAAAGAATGTGCTAGATTTTGAAGGCCTTGAAGATATCTGCATGGAATTTGAGTGGCATATTCTTGATGTGCTATTACACGAGGTTACTAGTGAAATTGTTGAAATTCTTTAGATTATTGTTTTTGGTCGCTTGTAACACTTGCTAAAAGCTCTTTACTTTTTTTTTTTTCTTTTTTTTTTTTGTAAATATCTTAATTTTATAAATTTTAATAAGAAAATTATGTAGCGTGCCATTAAAATCTAATAATTTTACATTAACGACTTTGGACGTTTGGTTCATAGATTCAGAATCATAATTCAGAACTATTCTCAATTTACGTGTGTTTTTTGTGTGAAAAAATATTGTAGCGAACCACAAATCATAATTCGAATCATGGCACAATATGTTAATAATTTTACTATTTTTTTTTTGTAAATACCACTGGTTATATTTGTTGGTTTTAAAAAAAAAAAAATTAATACTCTACCACAATATCTCCAAAAACTAGAGTCATAGGTGCCTGATTATCTTTGTCAAGAAAAAAAATAATTTGATAGAATTTTAAAAAGATATTTAAACTGATAAATTAAGTGGCATATATGTTAAGTTTATACCGTTGCAAGGCATATATTGTTCGAGTTTTCAATATTTAAAGAAAAATATTTAAAATTTTATTGTATTAAATATTATCACTAATAAAAAGTGAGTTATATTTAAAATTTCCGTTTATAATATCCATCTTTTATTAATATATAGTGTTGAGCATCATCTTAGCAATTCCTCATAGTGGACAAGAACGAAGGTAATACTTCTGTCTGTATTAATGTGAATGGGAACTTCGGAGCGTGTGAATGGAGTTTGCCGACTTTGCTTACTACGAGACATGCCACTGCTGTTGTTCCTCTGCTGCAATATAGAATTAATATTTGCTAAGATTAAGGCCCCGTTCACTTCACTAATTCGAGTTTAGAATTCGAGTTTTGCTACAGTAAAAAGTTCTCACAAACAATCACATCTAACTTTTTTGTTACAGTAAAAAGCTCTCACATAAAATCACATCTCAACTCGAATTACAAACTCGAATCAGCGAAATGAACGAACCTTAAAACATATATGGATGAGATATTCAATTCTGTACAAGCAGTTAAATTTTTAACTACTTGGAAGTAGCTTCACGAACCTTTTCAGAAAATGATAAATGATGATGGTAGCACGAACCTTTTCAGAAAATGATAAATGATAGTGGTAGCTGAAAGTATAGTACGGGCACAACTGTGGTCAGAGTTGCCAGTTTCCCGCGTTGAAAATTTAAGACCGTTTAGTTCGTTGATTTAAATTTTTAATTTGAATTGAGATGTGATTTTATGTGAGAGTTTTTTTCTGTAGTAAAAAAATTAGATGTGATTGTTTATGAGAACTTTTTACTATAACAAAACTCAAATTCTAAACTTGAATAATTCCTGCCTCCTTATTCTCTCTCTCTCTCTCCGGAACATAAGGTAAATTGCAGAAATTTGTGTTAAGTTTGTAAATAAATAAATAAATAAAAGTCACTGAGAGGTTCCATTTAGTTTATTGATTCGAGTTTTTAATTTGAGTTGAGATATGACTTTATATGAGAGTTTTTTATTGTAATAAAAAAGTTATATGTGATTATTTTTAAGAATTTTTTACTATAATAAAACTCAAATTAGTGAAATGAACGTGGCCTGAATTTACTCTTGCTTAAAATTACCATGCTGTTTATCTCATGGCAATGTGGATAGCAGATTGAATGAGATTTCTAATCCAAACAGGCAAAATCAAAATTCAACGTCGCCTAAATTTGGTGATCCAACCCCACGTGTTAGGGTAAAAATGTGAACATTTGTTAAAAGAAAAAAAAAAAAAAACGCCTTAACTATCCAAACATCTTTTCAAATTTTGTTTCATGCATGCTCAAATTTATATTTTAATTGTATATCCAAATACCAATTTTGATTGAAATTTAAACCATAGTTTTTTTGGTTTTCGATTTCAAACAAAAAGGTTTAAATTGTTTAAATTTGACGTGAACCAAGTGGAGTCATATTTCAAACTGTACTCAGGTTTTCCGATGAATTCGAAATTTATCATATTTATTCTATGGCTAAATTTAGTAAATAAGGTAAATCGAATTTCTTCTGATGAAGTCCCGAATTATATACAATTTTTGTAGTGATACTTACTTTTTTATTTCCTATTCACTAAGCTTTTGGATAATAAACTCATTTTTTATTAAATAATCTTCTTCTAGAATTAAAAATGTTGTTATTAACTAGTTTGGTTTAAATAATTTTTCTTAAATATTTCTTTTATACATTTAAATTAATTTGATCATTAACGCTTGCCTTCTTTTTTTGTTTTGTTTTTTGCGTTAGAGTTCGGTAAAAGGACTTACTAAATTCTTCAATTATATATTAACATAAAATAATGAATAAAATCTTTTATTAAATAAATAATAAATATCTTATTATATTTTATACTTTTATGACATCATTCTCAACAATTATAGTGTTTAGTAAAAGTGTGCAAAACAGTTTGCACATAAATCAATGCACTTTTTAAGTTATTTTAAGATCTTAGAATTTGTAGCTAGCTTTTAGATTCTAACTGCTGCTTTGCTCTATTCTTTTCACAATTTTAATTACAACTCAAACATTTTGCTATAGTTTTTTCTCTCAAAAAAATTCAAATTCATTTTTTTATGGGACAATGTTTTCTCTCATATAAATTCATGTAGTGCTTCTACTAAAAGCACAACAATCCCAAACTGTTAAGTCTTCGAGCTCACATTTTTTTTTGACACTTGGGTCCCTATTATGAAAATATTGGCAACTAGGTTGCATACTCTCATTTTCTTTGTAATGACTGAGAAAATCCCAGACTTTAAATAATACAATTTACGTGTTTAAGCCAATGATTTTTCTAGAAAATATTATGCTATATTTTGTGACTGAAGGATCTATGGAATTAACATCTGTATTCCTAAATTATGTAGCAGATTTCATGCTAAATTCATGTTTTACGATCAAGTAAATTCGATCGATAAATTCTCACAGTACTTTAAGGCGGAAGAATTTTCAGTACGTATATAGTTTGAGAATCTTAATTTCAAGAATCTTCAAGCGCAACACGATGTTAGCAGCGTATAAAAAAATGCTCTGACATTTTAAGAGATGAAAAAAAAATCCTTAATTGCCGGACAGCTAGGTTAAAGTCACACGAAAAATACTTGTAGTAGAAGGGTACAATGTGAGCTCGGGATTTGACACCGTCTGAAACAATGTCATTCCCGGGATATAATGCAGAAAATTCAAGTTTAGAATTTGTTTAGTCTAGAATAAATTTCAAGACTTGAAACAATTCAAAATATTGTGCGGGTAAGAATTTAATGTGATATCGAAGTAGTCAGGGATTAATATTGAATTTTAAATAAGCAGTAGAAAATGAACCGTCAGAAACTATAATTTCCTGTTGGCTAAGTATGTCCTTACAGCCGGTATAATTTTATCAGTTTCAAGGGAAACTTAAGAGATGAGACAAAAGTACAAGAGTGGGTTAAGTTTGGGTTGGATGAGATGTGATGTGATTGTGTTAGGTGAAGAGAAATTATGGCATACTTACCCCTTTCTTTTCTCCCACCTAGACTGGCCATGTAAGGAGGCTTTAAGCAAATTTTGCTTGATGAAGTTGTACTAAAAGATTAAATAAAGAGATGAATCAAATCACTTATTTATTAGAAGTCTCACTTGTACTTCCCTTCTAAAAACACCAACCGGCCATTTGACTTAGTTATTCTCAAGTCTCTTTCTTCCATTCTCCTCACCAAAATCGAGCCTTCCCCTTACCTCACACACACTCAAAAGTTTCCATATATCTCACCACAAATCCTAGTTTAAGTTGAAGAAGAAGAGGAGAATTTCAAAGGTGTTCAAGAGAGTTCTTCAAGGGTAATTTCTTAAACTCTCCTCCATTATTTTTCTAGCCAACCTTAAGCTTGAAATTATGGATGTAATTTATGGTTCCTTTAGGCTATGGTTGTAATAAGGGTGTGTGAGTTTTATGTTAGTTTTGTGTGTTTTGAAGTTAGTTTGATTAGCATTAGGTGGTATGAGTATGCTTGGTTAAGTTTGCTTATTTTGGGTTAGAGGTAAAAAATTTCCGGTTATTTGAACGCGAAAATGAGCATCCTCGAGCGAGATTTTTCAGTTATTCTAAGTTTGAATTTATAGTTCTCGAATAGTTCTTGATGTTTTGAACATTTTTCTGTTACCTTGAATAAACTCAGTTTTAACTCTAAATGTAAGTTTTAAGCCATTTTCAAAATGGCTCAATGCTGTCCAAAATAGCTTAAAAAAAAAACTAGCAGCCACTATGGCAGCCAAATGAGGCCTTTGGAGGCCGAATCTCAGCTTTCTCGAAAACAATAATTTTAGATCCCGATGAGACGAAGAATTCCTGTAAATAATAGATTTTTAAAATCTGACTCTATGATATAGTAAAATGCATATTTCAAAAACTGCACAGTTTTAACCGAACAAAACTAACACAATTTTAGTTTTTAACATAAGTTTATCCAGGAACCCAAGATGTGATTTCAGTAAAATACTATGGTTTTAGACCTCGCTTTAACGAAGAACAATCGTGAAGAAAGATTTTTCAAAAAGATCTACAACATAGTTTCACAGTGGTTTACAAACTAACCGTAAAATGACTTGTGGAATAGTTTCACAAGTCGGTATTTGAAAAGATATTTTATAATGTGATTTTAGTACTTTTAACTAGATAAATGAGTCAATTTTATAAAAATCGAATGATAGTTTCTTTTAAAAACGTAATAGTTTTCGAGCAAAACATCCCGACGGGTATTTACGAGCCAATATGTTAGGCCCTTAGAATTTTAAAGTTAGATGCGGGTCCAATGCCCGTATTAGTTCAACAACCCCGCTTAAGTCTAAATTTCTACGGTCTAAGAGTTAGAATGCCATTAATAAGTCTCTAGGCCAAATTAGGCCTTAGTGATTAACAAATCCAATAAGGTAAATTATGAAGAATAAGTTACTAGATTGGATAATTGATTTCAATCTAGACAAATGTATGTTAAGGGCAATTAAGGAAAATAAGATTTTGAGGATTTAATAAATT